TTCATAGGATCATATGCCCTAGAAAAGAGCTTAGAGCAATCCTTCTTTTTACAGATGAGTAAACTGAGTCTCAGATTAAATGATTTACCCAAGGTCACTCAGTATAGGAAATGGGATTCCAACCCAGCTCTCCTCGACTGAAAGCCCAGCTCTGTAGCCATCCTTGGGACCTTGGTAGGGGAACTTTGAGATCTTTCTTTATGTCCTTTGTCATTGCTTTTGTCCCTGAAGGAAATCATTTGTGTAAATAGATTGGACGTGATAAAAAACCAGCACAGAAACCCCCCAAACGACAATCCTGTGTGGGCCTCAGGAGTCACTTTTTAGCTGTCTTCTGGGCACCGTCCATCTACATAAGTTTGTCATTAGCAGAAACAGGAAAAATCCACATGGTCTTATGCTGTGCTTATCGGTGGGTCTGGAGCTGATGTTTCAATAGTGATTTAAGGTTGGCAAAGCTCTTTACAGACGTGATCCCATTCGATCCGTGTGGGCCTGGGTCCGAGACCAGTTGGCCTTGATCATTCCTAGGTCATTGGGTTAGTGTTATGTTTGTGATGGAATACCCCCTGGGGAATATATTCCTTTTAGCCCTTCATTACAGTATTAGCACAATTGCTCAGCTCTCTGGGGACCCCCTTTTGAAGCTCCGGTGTTCCTTGAGGTCAGTGCACAGAGGCGGCTGCTTGACCTCCCTGGAGCTCTCATCTGGGTGTCTGCCAGTCTCGGTGGTGAATGACCAGAATCCCAGAGGGGGCCCAGAAAATCCATTAGCCAGAGAAGAAATGTTCCCTGGGGCAGCCACTGAGGTCCCTTTGGGTCCCTTCCTTTCCAGGACTGATTGCTTTGATGTTATTAAAAACCAGGGCAGTCACCTGGACTTCTTCTTCTTCAATGTCTGCTGATGGAATCGGCTCTGTTAGCGTTAATGAAGATTCTAGGGAGAGGCTGGTTGGGGGCATGTGTGTGGTCTGCCCTAGTGAGGGCAGGGCCCTGCAAAACATAGCCCAGATTTGTGATCTTGTGTTCCTTCTCACCTAGGGATTTTCAGCGAGTGAGATAATCTTCATGTTTGGTTGGGCCCAGTCTGTTCATCTTATGTTAGAAAAGGATAATAATAATAGTAGTGGTAGTGGTGGTGGTGGTAGTAGTAGTAGTAGTAGTAGTAGTAGTAGTAGTAGTGGTAGTAGTAGTAGTAGTAGTAGTAGTAGTAGTAGTAGTAGTAGTGGTAGTAGTGGTGGTAGTGAGGCAGCTGCGTGGTGCAGTGGGTAGAGTACTGGGCCTGGGTCAGGAAGACTCATCTAACAGTTCAAATCTGGCCTCAGACACTTACTAGCTGTGTGACCCCGGGTGAGTCACTTCACCCTGTTTATCTCAGTTTCCTCATCTGTAAAATAAGAGAAAAAAATGGTAAACTGCTCTAGTATCTCTGCTAAGAAAAGCCCCGAATAGGATCATGAAGAGTCGAACGTGACTCAGTAACAACAACAAAATGTAAAGTATTGCAGTTGGGTCCAAAAAATCAACTTCCTAAGCCCAAGAGGAGGGAGGCGTGGTTGGCAGTTCAACGGAGAAAGGAGTGGCCTTCAAACTCCCCGTGATATGGCAGCCGTTACTAGGTTGTGCTTCTTGGAAGAAGAAGGCAAAGAAAACCTTTGTCCTCTGCCCCGGTCAGATCACTTTGGGAGTGCCGCGTCTGGGTCTTGGAACCAGAGTTTAGGAAATGCGTTGGTGAAGTGGAGACTGTCCAGGGGATGGCAGCCAGGATGGTTGAGGGGCCTGGGGTCCATGCACATGAGGACACTTGAAAGAACTGGTAACATTTAGCCTGGAGAAGAGGAGACTCAAGTATTTGAAAGATTGTCACCTAGAAGAGGGTTGGATCACTTCTGTTTTCCAGGCAGGAAGCGCTAGGAACAATAGGGGCAGTTTCAAGAGGCCAATTGAAGCTTAAGATGAGGGAAATCCTTCCTGGAGACTGAGGCTGGCCCAGAGCAGAGGCTTCCTTGGGAGTTCCTCCTCGTTGGAAGTCTTTAGGCAAAGGCTGGGTGACCAGGCTGGGGGGGGTATGATAATGGCTGTCTAATCCAACCCGTCCCCCAGGAATGCCAAGAAGTGACTGGCAGAATCTTTCTTCATAGCATGTGTGGGGTCTAAGGCACAACATGGCAGCTGTCTTGTCACTCAAGTGTCCTTTACATTACAGAACAAGTCATGTTTTCTTTATTAGCATCTTCTCTAAGAGTGGAAGTGAAAGGTACAGTCATGAGGCAGGATGGAGCAGTGGAAAGAGCGTGGTATATGGCATCTGGGGACCTAGAATCTATCTTTTATCTCTGTATGACCTTGGGCAAGTCACTTCCCATGTGGAGCCTTTATTTCCTCAGCTGTAAGATGAGCCCTTCCAGTTCTAAGTATGTGGTCCTAAGGACATTTGTCCTTGGAGGAGGAGCTTGACTTGTTTTTAATTTTATAAGCATGTCATGCCACATTACTTATGGGAATTCCTGAGTTCGGGAATTGGCAGGGGGCCTGCTTCTCATGATGGTGGAGCATCAATCTCACCCCACTTGTAGCCCTTTAAAAGAACTGTGGCTCTGGTGGGAGCTTTGTGCTAAAGCATTGTCAGCATCAGTGACAGGATCACAGAGTGTCTGCTGGGGGACCCAGAGTCTCCCCTTCCTGTGGCTTGGCCAGAAGCAGAGCTAGTAGAGACTGGAAGATGGAAAGAATGGAAGGGAGTAAGGAAGGGAGTGCTTTGGAAGTAGTCACCAGGGCTCTCCATAGCTGCTTCATGAAGTCAATGTGATTTTTGTGGATAGAAATAGCTTTTGGGGGTGATTGGGATGGCATTGGAGGTCCTGGGAGGACAATCACCCTTTCTGTGTTATTACAGGTCAACAAGCTTTGACTTCTTTTTAATTCAATTCAAAAAGCATTTTCTAAGAAGTAAAACTACATTGTTTTTACATCATCTGCATTTCCCACTGTACCCTTCCTTCCTCCTCCCCTCCCCCCCTCCAACAAGCAGTTCCTTATTACAAAGAATAAAAAAGGGGGAAAAAAAAGCTCAGCAAAACTAACCAGCAAATCAAAGAAGTCTGGCATTTTATGTGCAATGTTCCACACTCATGGGCTCTCACTCTGCAAAGAAGCGGGTGGAGGTGCCTTCCCATGTCTCTTCCCTGGGGCCAAGCGTGGTTGGATTTCTCAGCGCTAGGATAGGATTGTTTTATTCTCTCTTTCCAATCATTTTGTCATAGCCATTTCTCTAATTGTTTTCCTTCTTCTGCTGATTTGTCTCTGTGTTCCTGTGCTTAATGAGCATTTATTAAGTACCTATTGTCTGCAAAGCACTAGGGCTACAAAGACAGAAATGAAATTTTAAAGAATAAATTAGACACTCTCCCTTGATGTAGTTGAAAGGTGGATTTAAGTAATGGCACATCTTGTATGGGTTGGTATAAGTGTTGAGACCCAAGAGGCGGGTGGGGGCAGTGGAAAGAATGCCTGATTTAGAGACAGAGGACTAGGGTTCAAATCCGTTCTTCTCTCAAACGACTCCAGTCTCTTTGCCAAGAAAACTCCAGACGGTGTCAGGAAGAGTCAGACACGATTGAAACGACTGAACGACAAGAAATCCCACCCGTGCTATGCGTGGGATTCTAAGTGGCATTCTAGACATGGAAGGCGCGTAGGCGCCGAGATGGTAGGTGAAAGGTCCTATGCAGAGAACACCTGAGAGTCCCAAGCGTAAAGAAGATGTAATCTGACAGAAGGCTGGAGAGGTAGATGGGAGCCAGATAAAGGTGTGGAGGGCTTCTAATGCCCGGCTGAAGAGTTGGCATTTTGTCCTAGACTTGACAGGAAGCTGTAGAAGCTTCTTGAGCAGATTTCAGCCTTTTGGGAAAATAAGTTTGTCAGGGAGAGGGGGAGACTGGAGAAGGGAGGATGATTTTGAGGCCAGTGAAGTAATTCAGGGGAGAAATGATGATGGATGAATGGAAAGAAGGGGGCCCAGGAGGCACATTGTGGCAATGGAATCAGCAAGACATCTCACCTGGTAGAATATGGAGAGGAGGGCAGGGAAGAGTCATGGATGACTGAGCTTTGGCTGACTGGGAGGATGGTGGCAGTGTCCTCAACCAAAATGAGGAGGTTTGGAAGAGGAAATTTTTTTGGGAAGTAATAATGAGTTTTATACTTCTCTTGGATTTCCCCAAGTCACTGAAGCTTTTTCAGCCTTGGTTTCCAATCTCAGTGTTAAGTGATGCCTTTTTGTGGTTGTCGTCAGGAATCAGCATATAGGGCATAGGTCAAAGGCAAGACTGTCCAAACATTTCTAATCGGGTCACATCTGTGAAGGCTAGTGATGCATGGCGCACATCTAGTTATCTTGTGGTGTCCTTTCAGAGAGAGGAAGTTGATGCATGGGCTGTAATATGATGATATCGGTTGTGAGAATACATATTACCAGAACAGCTGAGGCAACATAGGCAGTGGGAATAGATCTGAAATGGGAATCAGAAGACTTGGGTTTGGCTACTTCCTCTGACATGTATTAACTGTGTGACCTTGGTCAGCTTCTCTGGGCCTCGTTTCCCCCTTCTGTAAAATGAAGAGATTGGGCTAGAGAACCTCTAAGTTTCCATCTAATTCTAAGCCTGTGGTCCTAAGTACACATGGTCCTATGGTCTGTAATTAATCTGGTTTCTTCACAAATGGAGGATAAGTATGGAATTTAGAGTGAAGACTTGGAAGAAACGGTCATCTTCACTTAGAGACGTATCCCCTAGAGATGTCTGATTTTAATTTCCACCTGACTATCACGTTCTCAGTTAGGAATTCCTTGTCCCAGGTGGGTCATAACATTGTCTGATTGAAGCATCTTGAGTTTTCCTCTGTACATGACACCAGTCAAAGATTCACTGCATCTGGCCTTTCCCCACTGGGTCGGTAGAAGACCGTGTTACATTTATCCTTTTTCTGTCTATCGACAGGCTTGAATTACATCTTGACGGCGGATGTGACCAAAAAGGAGAAGGGCCAGCAGCCTCGGGTGTACTTTGTGTCTTTCGGAGAAACGATGGGGCAGGTCTCTGAGAAGATGCAGCTCTCCTACATGGAGGAGAAGTGTGAACACTATCAAGCCCATGTGAAGGTCAGTCCGAGACATCCTTCTTGCATCCTGGCTGTCGGCGGGGGCTTCTCTTTCCCTCCGCAGGTAGAATGAGATTACCAGGGAAATTCGTCTGGACTTGTGGCTGATTCGTTCACTCTGACTTGTTGCAGAAGTCCTTTGGGGAGGACACAGCTTAAAACCTCAACATCATGTTTGACCGTTCTCTGAAATATTCTCTCTTCTTGGTTCTTTGAGAACCAGGCAGCCAGATATCCAGGAAGGGTCTTGCCCTCATTCATTGGAGGGCCTCTCCATCCTTTCCCCTCCAAGGATCTTCTTGGAGAAGAGACCCAGGCAGAGGCTGTCAGGTTGCTGGGCCACAAGGATGCTGGTTCAGCTTACACCTGTTGCTTTGCTTGGTATCGCTGCCTTCCCATATTGATCCCCAAACTCCAAAATAGTTACGTTTGGTTGTGACTGTATTTTTTATCCTCCTCAGTTACTTTCTGTTTATTTTAAAAGTGCATTTTTTGGCCTTCCCACCCTCTCTGTATGAGTCTTAAAATGTTTTTCTTCTCTTGTAATTGTTTATTAAATGCACTTTGCCATAAGCCTGGGAGTGAGGGGCCCAGCCTGTGGTTGGATACCTGGAGGCAGTGGTGGTGTTAGTCTAGGCATGAGCAGATGCTGCAAACGTGAGGCACAAATGAGAGCTCAGGACTGTTGAAGATATGGGTCATTGCAAGCTGATGTACTAGGAGACCCTTTGCCAGAAGGTTAGCGTGTGTGGGCCCTGGAAAAGCAGGGCCTTGCCATTGGAAGATTTGCATTCTAGGCCTGGTTCCATTATCTCCAGACAGTGTGACTTCAGGTAGCACTCTTTAGTCTCAGTGTTTTCATCTATAAAATGGGGATAATAGTAGCTGCCCTGCCTACCTCATGTGACTGTTGCGAGGACCTGATGAGACAATGTCTATGAAGGTGCATTCAGTGGGCATTTTTACAGCGCTCAGCCTGGGGAATCATAGGTCTTGAAGTGGAAGGGACGTCGGAGGTTACAAAGTTCAGCCACCTCATTTTACAGACGGGAAGCTGAGTCGGCGTCTGACCCTGTAGGAGTCTGAGGTGGAATTTGGACCACGGTCTTTGTGGCTCCAAACTAGCATTCTAAGCATCTGTCATGCCTATACAAAGAGGAAAGTGAGACGGTGCCTGCCTTCAATGGACTTACATTCTGCACGAGGAGAATCTGTGTGGTGATCAATAAATAGGAAGTGACTTCAGGAAGGGGAGAGTACAGATAATTTATAAATGGTGAAGCCTGGAGTTCGTGAGGACGCAGCTCAATGGGCGTCCATCGGCTGGAGGACCTGGAGACATCTCCAACTCAACCTGGCCCAAACAGAACTGGGTGTCTTTCCCCCAGACCTACACCTCTTCCTGCTTTCCCTCTTTCTGTCTAGGGTCTTCCTGGCACCCTGTCTGCAACCACAGAGTCACTTTTTCCTTCCCCTCGCCCCAGTGGCCATCATCTCTCCTCTCTGTCTCTGTCTCTCTGTCTCTGTCTCTCTGTCTCTCTGTCTCTGTCTCTGTCTCTGTCTCTCTCTCCCTCTTATGTTAAAACTCCTTGAGAAGGCTGTCTATGATCTATACCTTCCTTCCCTCTCACTCTTTTCTTCTCTCCATAATCTGGCTGCCAAGATCATCCTTCAGTTGAACCTGCTCTCTCCAAGGTTACCGAGGGTCTCTCAGTCACTGAGCCAGTGGTTCTTTCACAATCCTCATCCCTCTTGTCCTCTGAAGCTGTTGACGCTGCCGATCACCCTCTGTCTTCTCTAAGTTTTCTCCTGGTACTCCTCCTTCCTCTCTGACTGCTCCTCCTTCCCTCTCTTTCTCTGAATCTTTTTCTAGGCAAGGCCTGTTAACCACCCTTGTCTCCTAGGGCTCTGTCCCGGCTTCTCTTCTCCCTCTATACAGGTCTACTCGATGATCTCATCAGCTTCCATAGATTGATGGTTCCACTTAACTAGCCCTAACCCCTCTGCTGACCTCTGGTCTTGTATCTCCTCCTGCCTGTTGGACATCCCCAACTGGATGTCTCCTGGGCATTTGAAGCTCAGTCTGTCCAAAATGGATCCATTGTCTTTCCCACCGAACTCTCCCGTCCTCCTGCCTTCCCAATTACTGTTGACGTCTCACGGGTTTTGGCGTCGTTCTGAACCCCACACTCCCTCTTACGCTGCCACATCATGTCGGCGTTACCTTTGCAGCATTTCTCATGTGTGTCCCCTTCTCTCCTCTGGCACTGCCCTCACTCCAGTGCAGACCCTTGTCACCACACGCTTGGACGATTGCAGCAGCTGCTGATGGGTCTGCCTGCTTCAGCCATCAAAGTGACCTTCTTAAAGCACAGGTCCGACTTTGTCGCTCCCATTCAACAAACTGCTGTAGCTCCCTACTCCCTCCAGGATCAAGTACAAAATCCTTTGTTTGGCGTTCAGAGACCTTCACAATCTGTCCCCAGCTGGCCTTCCCGATTTGTTGCACAATACTGGCGCCTGCCCAGCCCCTTGGACTCTGCGTTCCAGCCAAAGCAGTCCATTTATTCTTGCTCACACACAACTTTCCGCCTTTCATCTCTGCCTTTGCATGGACTGCTGCCCTGTGTGGAATACTCTGCCTCCTCATTTCTGATGATTAGAATCCCCAGCTTCCTTCAAAGCTCAGAGCAAATGCGGCCTTTCTATGAGAAGTCTTTGGTGATTCTCCCACCTGTTAGAATCCTCCTGCTAACGTGACTTTGTAGCTATGTGTACTTTGTATTTTCATGTCTTTGGGCCCATCGCTTTCTCCCAGTGGAATGTAAGCCCCTTGAGGGCAGGGACATTCTACTTTTGCCTTTGCGTTCTCAGTACCTGTAGAGTGCATCATGCTTGTCAGGCACTTGGTGATTTTTATTGAATCAAATCCCTAATTTCATCATGAAACTTTTAAAATTGACCAAAACAAAGAAAAATAAGGATTTATTTAAGAAAACAAACAAACCCACAATGCAATCCATGCTGAAAAAGGCGAGCTTGAACCACTGTCTTTTTCATGAATATTTCTTTCAAATTGTCTTCTTGATCTCTCTCTCTCTCTCTCTCTCTCTCTCTCTCTCTCTCTCTCTCTCTCTCTCTCTCTCTCTCTCTCTCTCTCTCTCTCTCTCTCTCTCTCTCTCTCTCTCAAAAACAAACCAACCAGCCTCATTCCAATATCATGAACCCCACCATGATGTCGGCTTCAGGAGACAAGGGTAACACGTGTGCTCAGATATGTGCTGTGCTATTAGCACTGAGGACCAGAGCAGCGTGGACTTGGCACTCAAAAGGACCGCAGAGGCCATGTGTCCAGCCCCTTATTCTGTAGATGAGGAGACCGGTCCAAAGAGGAGAAGGCCTCGTGTGTGAGGTCCCACAGGGAGTGAGTGGCAGGATTAAAATTCAAAAAATCCATCGCCTTTTCCCCGTGCCTTGCTGAAGATGCTCTGTGAAATCCACAAGAGAGGCACAGCCTAGAAAAACATGCGTAGCTTGAGAATTGATATCCACATTAACCACTGCTTAAGATGCCACATATTTGGGGCATGAGAAGTGGTTTTCCTACCCAGATTTTTCTGGATTCCAGTGGAGGGCTAGAGTTTAGGGAATAAGGAAATAATGATATTATCTGACTGGCTAGGTATCAGGGATGTGGACCAGCTGTGACCTTGGTGGCTTATGGTTTATCCAGCTGTGGGCAACAGCTGTTGGGGCTGTTGGCTCTTGGGAGAGAGGTTGCAGGCCTCGAGGGTGGAGGTTATCCCAAACTGTCTGGGCTTCCCAGCGGAGCCAGCATGAAGGGCTTTGGGGCTTGCTTTAGCTTGAGGCACTTTAAAAGGTCTGTGCGGCCTCCAGAGCCTTGGAGCAGAGGATTTTTTCCCATGGGGACTCTTCACTCAACTTCATAGAAATGTCTGGTAAGATAAATAGAAGAATTTGAGTTTACTTAACACCATCTGGTCAGCAGATGATGATAAGAGGCAGGCTGTGACAGGCAATTTGTTCGTTTATGTTTCATCGCTCCTTTCTCCCTGATAGTTTCCTTCCAGATATAGCAGGATATATAATCTAGATGGATGGAAGCCAGTGGGTCAGGCTTCTTCTCCCAAATCACCTTACACTTCTCTTGCATATGTTTTCCACATGCCTATACATGTATTTGTTGTCTCCCCCAATCGAGTATAAGCTCCTTGAGGGGGGAAGATTTCTTCTGTCTTGTCTTTGTATCTCCAGTGCCTGGCACAAAGTAGGCACTTAATAAATTCATGTCACTTGATCTATTGATTTTTTTCACTTTGATAAAACTATAATATCGTTGATATGATTGTTGGGGCATTGTGTGCTAGCTCATGCTGTGTGTGACCCTTGTCTTGAATCTTCCTTAAAGCCTTCATAGGCAGAGGGGGAGATGCAGAGAGGTGGTAGAGACTTTATGTCTCTTGTGGGTATATCCACAGGTACCCATGGAGCACACAGACAGTTCATTTGTTCTCCCTAAGTCTTCCTATGGGAGCAGCCCACTTCTTTTTCTGGTCAATCAGTCAAGAAGCATTTATTAAGCTCTGTATTCATTTGAGGTAATATCTGTGTTAAGCTCAGATGCGCAAAGACAAAGCAAAAACAATCTTTCTCTTTGAGGAGTTTCTATTCTCATGAGGAAACCATCCCTTCCCCTGCCCCGGTGGAGAAATAGACACATAAAATATAAATAGAGAGAAAAATGAAGATGACCAGGGAGGGGAGACTAGGAAAGGCCTCTGCAGAAGGTTGCATTGGAGCTGAGTCTTGAAGGAAGCCAGGGATTCCAGAAGCTGAGGTGAGGAAGGAGAGTTTCCATGTGTGGAAGACTGTGGGTGCAAAGTCCCAGAGATGGGAGGTGGAGCCTACCATTGGCAAGGAGGCCAGTATGGCTGAACTATAGCTAGGCAGAGGAGACTGTGATGGTTGGGTGGGGTCAGG